ATTCTGGGAGTTGAAGTCCACTCATCTTAAAGTGGCCAAGTTTGGACAACACTGGTTTTAATGGGTAGGTAGGTAGGCTTTAGACTTAAGTCCTGCCCACTAACATAATCTTCTGCCTTTCTAGAAGCTATATAAAATTCTTAGCCCAATGAAAATCAACTTATTTCCTATTGTGTTGCTGTTGATAATGTGGCTATTCCGCAGTGTTGCTGTTTGACAAACTTAAATATGTCTTTTCTTTCCACCGTAGGTTCCGTTCTATTGTTTATCCTTTTAAACAAAAGCTTACCATATGGACAGCATTAATCATCATAGCCATCATCTGGGTCCTGGCTATTGCCATCATGTGCCCATCTGCTGTAATGCTGAAGGTGAAAGAGGAAAAACATTTCAGAGTCATGCTGGGCGATGACAACCAAACTCGAGCCATCTACTGGTGCCTGGAAGATTGGCCCAACCAGGACATGAGGAAGATCTACACAACAGTCCTCTTTGCCAATATCTACTTGGCTCCCCTGTCACTCATTGTCATCATGTATGCTCGGATAGGGATCACGCTTTTCAACACGGTGCCTGCCTCTGGAAAGCAAGGCCACGAACGCCATTCAGTTTACAGGAAGAAGTTGAAGGTCATCAAGATGCTGATCATTGTGGCTTTGTTATTCATCCTCTCCTGGCTGCCGTTGTGGACCTTGGCCATGCTCTCTGATTATGCTGACTTGAATCAGACTCAACTGCAGCTCATCAATATCTATGTCTACCCTTTTGCCCACTGGTTGGCCTTCTTTAACAGTAGTGTCAACCCAATCATCTATGGCTTCTTCAATGAGAACTTCCGTCGGGGTTTCCAAGCTGCTTTTCGGCTTCAGCTCTGCTCTGGGGATGCGATGCCTCGGGAGATGTATTCTCAACGGGCCCAAAACAATGCTGTTTTGCCTGCAGCAGTTCCCCAGCAGCTAGGACGTGATCTTTCCTCATCTGTTGCAGGGCGGCCAATTCAAAAGGGGAACTGGGTGGATAAAACACAGGTTCTGATGATGGAGAATCTAGAAGATGTTACAAATGACATTGGCACTAAACAAGACTTGCTATGAACTACCTCAGCTGTGTGGTTGCACCAGTCATGATGTTCAAGCCCTACCTGTGAAAAAAATACTTGCCGGTGTCTTGAGATCTTCTAGCTGTACAGTGTATCATTTCTGTCTCATAGTTGATTTATTAGGATTATGGGGGAAAGTGCTTTTCCAAGATCCATAAGAATCAGGAGTGATTCTCTCATCTACGGATATTTGGACTATTCCACTGAAGAAGTCTCAAAATGCTGCTGGTGGATCATTACAGGATGTTCTATACGATATAAAAAGGCTTCTTTTTTTTTTTAATAAGAAAACCATTTTTCAAGAAATGTTTATACCTGAGGGGCCAGAAATCTATTACCAGTCAGGAGTTAGAATAACTCTAGATCCCTATAAAGAGATAAACTCTTGGATATAAAGGGTAAATCCATCCAAACATCCAGTGTTCTTAACTTAGAAGACAGTGCATAAACATTTAGCTTCCTCTGGGCTTTCTTTTAAAGGAAAGTGGGCTTAAAACTTTTATACAGGTTTTAGGTATACAAATTAATGTCTGCTTTTAATTGTTTTGAGACGGGAGGTGAGCAACCTGAGGCCCTTAACTCTCATGCTTCCCTGAGAGTAAGATCAGTAATTAGGGAGGATAGGTGTGTCTCAGGTTCCTTCTCCCTATTTGCTCATTTAGGAAGCTGATATTTTCTCTAGAACCCCAGGATTCCTGTTAGGGTCCTGGTGCTTAATTTGAGAGAGGTAGAAGTCAAAACACTTTTTACTGGGGAGTGTTAGTTCTCTTTAACTCTGCCTTCTCCAACTCCTTTCTGGTCACATTGGGCTATAACCCCCCCTGCCTCGACAGAAGTATCAAAGACCAGGGTAGCTCAGCATGATGGGAATTACAATCCAGTGTCCCCAAAGAGGGCATGCTTTACATGTATGTACATGTACATTTTGCATTTAAATGTAAAATAATAATCTTCCATTTGCCTGCTTGCCAATGGCCAGTGAATCACTTGCCCGTAGCCACCATGGTAATTTATTTGGATACATCAGAAGACTTGGTATTAAAGTCAAGTGAGAATGTTTAGCTCAAGGCACAGATTATTTCTGCTCAGGAAAAAAAAAATCTGCCATAGATTTCTGTGGGAGTCGATTTGCAAGGTGAAGCCAAAGGGATCGGGTAGCACAAATGGCAGAATTGAAAGTCTGCTAACATCCATCTTGCTCAAAAATCTGCAGGAAATTGAGGAAAATGTACCCCCCCAAAAAGACACCCTCCCTTTTTTTTTTTTTTTACTGTAATGTACAAAAGGGATAAGGTCATAAAAGGAATATACATTTTAAAAGCCTACTTTGGAAAAGTATATATTACAAAAACTTAGCACTAAGAACATTTGATATAAAATTTTCCAAGAAACCTTTTTGGGATATTAACAAGTGGGAATATTACAGGAGAGTGCATTCCATTATGAACTCCTCAATTTCAGGCAGGTGGAGGGAGGACAGAAAAGTAATGTACTTATTAAACAGACCACACTTTTATTAAGGATGATTTGGAGATTCTGGGCACAGGAAAGGCGACAAACTCTGGGGGAAACCTGATCTCCAAATGTTAAGTAATCCTTTCCCAACCTCCTTTCCTAATGGCCTGTTGTGCTTTCATGATGAAAGTTGTAGTGCAAAACATTTGGAGAGCAGCAGGCGAAGAAGGTTTTCTTGAGTCTCTGGTGAGCATCGGGGTCAATTTCTGTGGCACCCACAGTTTGGTGCATCAGCTTACATGCCTTTGACTGATTCCCACGCAACTTTGCAAATTGTTATCATAAGCATTCGTGCAAATTTGCCCTTCCAACATTAAAAACGTGGCCTTGTTTTTAACCTGGCTTGCATGTTATGCAATTTTGCTTCTCAGATTTGTAAAAGGGCTGAACACAAAGCCCGCTTTCTTAATATTTTTGCCTAAGAAACTACCGTTGGGAAAGCCGTAGCTGATTATATACTAATAACTGATATACTAATAACTGATATACTAATCCCTCTGTAAGCGTAGAACTTTGCAAGGTCTGAACATTACAAATAATGGGCCATTATAATGGTGTATTTAAATGAAGTATTTTAAAAGATTTTGGTCTGCATGTTGGTTTCATTGACTTATTTGGGATAGGATACATCGAGGGAAAGCAACTTGCAATACCAAGGTTGCGTGTGATCCCTGGGCTCACTCTTCTAGTCCATAAATTCTCCTCTGATCATTGTTGCTGAAAATTGGTGGCACGGTTTCTCACTCTCTTGAAATAGGGCCACCCAGAGTTGCTTTTGGTGAGATGGGCAGCCATATAAATTTGACAAGTAAATACATAAATAAGAACTGTAATACACATCCTATGGTAGACCTGAGTATAAAAAGCATAGAATCCGCACACCCAGTTCAAAGCCAAGAAAACATTTAGTTCAAGCCACTTTGATTCACTGCTCCACTCTCTGTGGTCCTTAGACTCCCAAAGTAGCTTAAGTGCAGCCCCCAGTTAATGAAGATTGCCCATGGATGAGAGCCCTGGATGAGCAAAAGTCAAATTGAGACTGAGATGGCAACTTGATTAAGAATGGCAGATTTGATTCCAGTGGGAACAGTTAGATCTAAGCTAATATGGCTTCAGTCTGAGTCCACTTCTTTGATATTTCACTCTGGCTGAGAAACTGGGGAGGTTTCCTAATAGATCTGGAGCTTCCAGATTGTGTATAAATTGTCCCAGTGGGTTACTAACTTCCTTGTTCTTACCTATTTCAGCGTACTTATCTATGAGAAGCTATTGTAGGCTTGAGTCCAAAATGGAGATTAACTGGACTTTCACACTAAATGTTGAAATGTCTTTTCCAGTGAGGAAGCCCCTTTTGGACAACTTTTGAGCAAATTTCAGGGACATCCAAAAGGCTGTTTCTCCTTTCTGTGAAAAATGGAGCTGTCTAACATCTGAACTTCAGAAAACTCCTGAGATGAGTGAGCCTAAAACTCAATGATTTTTTATGCTGGGAACCCACAAAATGCCCAGTTTTGTAAATCTGTCATTTTGTAAATATTTACACATGACAATTATTGAGTTCACACAATATGTTAAGCCAAAACTAAATAAATCCCATTATGGTTTAGCATGACATAGGAACCAGAACAGGCTGAAAAACTCGCCAACTTTGGGTGGGGAGTTCTCCAAGGATGGATAACAAGCCTAGGGCTGCACAGATCCTTTGTTCCTTAGGCTGAAGGGCCAGCCTAATTGAGTCCCCTAGATCCTAACTCCATGTAGTCATAACATTTCTTAATTTTCTTAACATTCCTTAGCATTCTCAGTGTGAATGAAAATCAGTGAAACGTTGAGCTCTCTGCAACAATTTGAGTAATCATTTATTAATGAAAATGAAACAGTAATGTTGGTGTCACTTCTGTTTTGCCTGTCTGTCTGTCCATTGCATGTCCTTTGTCTCACTGATTGTATTTGCACAAATTTCTTCTCTGTGCTTAACTGTGGCATAGTTTACTCAGCACAATTTGGGTTTTCCCAGTGCACTGAATATTAAACTGACCACAACAGCCAGTTTACACAGCACACTTGCTAAAATGCTATTGATTATTATGTGGCTCAGTCTGTCCTGTGGATAGAGGCCCTGTAGCAGATTGGGTTTTCATCATTTCTATTTGCTGCAAATAGGTTTGATTGAAAGAAGGGCAAAGGGGAACAATTTCTTGCTGGCTCTAAATCATAATTCCAGTTGTGCTGCAGAATGCAGACAGAATTCTTCTGGGACTCCTTTTGTGGAAGAAGTAGATCCATGTTTATAAATACAGAATGTGTGTTTGCTCTGTCTACCATTGCATGAAAGAGGCTGGTGTGTACAGAGGATTTACTGAGGATATATCACTTACAGACCTTTTATCTGCAGATGGACTTTCATGAAATCTATTACATTTATGATCAGATTGCCAACAGAGCAGCAAAGGCAGAAATTATGAGCACCCACTGACAGGTTTTTCAGAAGATGTTGGTCTAGACTTAAATGGGGTTGCATGGTTTGTAAAGCAGTATGTTGTGGCAACAGGAACACCCTTTTCTGAATATTCCAGGCCCTTGTTTGATTTCTGCAGTTCACAATGGTGAGTTGCTGCAAATGGGCCCTGGCACCAAACGCTTAGACCCAAACCCTACCCATTCATCCAGTTTCATTTCTGTTTCACATAATAGATGTCTGTACTGCTTAAATGGTGCTCATGGACATGCCTTAGAAAATCCAGGCCAGAGCTGGAAGAAATTGTTGGGACTGAAAAATTAGCTCTTTTCCTCCATAAATATATTTGTCTGCTCTGAGATCAACCTGAATTACATTTCCTTCTTGCTTCACATTACAACTGGCAGGTTGTGCCAAGAGAATTGGAGTAGGGTTGTTGCATAAAAGCAAAAGGAACAAACTTGACAGACCTAACCATGTGCCTCAGGGTTCTCAAAGCAGGGTTTCATCTCAAAACCAGCTTGTTGAGTTGTGGGTGACACATCTCCCAGCATGCTTTCCTCCTTCAGGCAGTACAATTTTGAGCCATTCTGGAGTAAAGGAACATAACAATACAATAAATAAGTAAAAAATAGCTGCTTGCAATTTTATTATCATAGCAGTCAGTCTTTCTTAATTTGCTTCTAGACAGTTTGGCTGGATTTGGTAGGATTTGACCACAGTGAATAATTCTTCCCAGGCCCTGTTTACTGAAGATCTCCATTCTTTGACTGTTTGTTTAAAAGTACAGTAGTTCTCTCAACACATCAAGTGATGGTAGCCTCATTGCTTCCATCTGAAGCCCAGTGGACAACTAAAGCTCCATACTTCCACCTAGCTATGGAAAAGAAGTTCTTTTGTGGTTTTCATTGTGGATTTCATTTCCTTCCCTCCAGGTCAATAACCTACCTACTAATCTTTGGGACAGGCTCTATGACCTTTGGTTTCAATAAATGTCAACAGACAATGATCCTTCCATGAAC